AAAAATCATCAACTTTGGTTTACGTCTCCTGCGTGCCAGTTTCTATTAGGTGGCTTTTACGGCGTGGTTGGCGCAAAGTTTGAAAAAAGTTTGCGCTGTGCCTTTTTACGAGACATAAGTTCGCTGACGCCGAGGCGACGGGAGTAAAGTAAAAGCTCGCATTAAATTCATTATGATGGATTTTTTTCGCGCACAGGTCGCCTTCTTTTGCGTCTCCTGCCGGAGGAGCTTTTTGCGTCGTCGACGCTGGAAAGATATACGACTTGATCCACCTACAAACTAGCAATTATTAACGACGTGATTTATATTTGAAGGCGCTCGGGGTTTTTAGGCGCTCGCTCGAATTAGTTTTCGGTGCGCGCTGCTGCGCGAAGACGAAACGCGCTGTTATTATTTTAATTGTTTAGTTCTGGAGGTGGCATTCTTGGGATATTTGTTTAGCTAATCATATATTTCTGACCAACCAATTAACAGTTTTAAAATATTAAATTATATAGTTGGGTAGTAAAAACAAGTTCAAAGGCTTGTAACTTTTAAAGTTGAGGTTAGAAAAGGATAAATTTGATGTCATTTTATTTGTTACATAATCCTCTTTAATATGCGACATAAAAATAAAAAATCTAATAAGTCATTCATGAGTAAACTCCAAAAAAACAGAAAAAATTCAAAAAATTTTAAGTTTTTTCATAAAATTCTCTTTTATATAATCCAAAATTTAAATCTGTGACAACATTCGAAAGATAATTTATTCCTAGTGTTGTATTCCACCTTGTACACCAATTGCCCAACAATTTGTATTGTTTCGTGTCCCAAAATTGCAATTTAACTCAACATCATTACATCTCCTTCACAAAACTGCGCAATGTAACAGAACAAGATGCAACAACAACAACAACAATAATAATAATAGACATTGATTTCAATAAATCATTTAGGAATAAAAACTGATTAGTTTCTAGCTCTAGCTCGATGCGTACGCATAGAAAACAATCACTTCCATTAGTTTTTAGCCAAGATGCTCGCTGTGCATAATAATCATGCGCAACACAATAAAAAAACATAATGGACTCGCGCGGACATTAGTAGACTTAGACTACTCGCAGCGGCATAATAACATAATGCTAAATAAATTATGAATAGGTTTTATCTAATTTTCCAATCGAACTTTCGATCACGCTGTATTACTATAAGTATTACGAGTACTATGCAGCGCTTAGGAACTCTGTGAGTTTTGTAAGATTGCGTCTGTGTCGTCCTCCGGCAAGCAGTGGTTATTACATTTTGTGAGGACACACGATATCGATAGATAGTTTTTTCTGACTTTCGATCAAAGTATCAAACAATACGCAAGCGGCGAATGCGCGCAGTGTGGCGTTTCAGGTCGAAAAGGCGACCGGTCGCGAGGAATGAATAAATAAACGATGGTGTGGTCGAGATAGCAATTTGAATTGTTTCGGAATGGAATGCCCTTGTGGCATCGTCGTCTTGCGCGTCTTGTAATCGTAACGAGTGTGCCTTAATAATAGGTGACGCGACGCGCGGGACCTTTGGAAATCGTTGCGCTTCGGGCGATGTCAACCTTTATAAAGAAGTATACTCGGCTGAAAAAATGCACCCAGCTATAAATCGAGTCTGTTTGAGGTTAGATTATAGGATCACTTGGAAATTAATAATTCATCGATCGATAAACGCGATTTGCGTAGCTAAGTATAGCCAAATGTGTCTTCATTTGAATATCTAATCATACAGTTTTATATTTTATCCAGTTTGCGAAAAATTTCGACTTAATACCCGGGGTAGACGGATGAATTTTTTTTCATTTCGTAAGTGTGTTTGTATTCACTCGCGTGCATCCGAACCTCAAATCTGGATGCTCTGAATGTTTGCCCTAGTCATCATTAAGTCGGCGTTGTTTTCAAATCATTATACCGTCTGACTGCGATGGTAAAAAGTAGAATTACAAGTGCAGGCGGCAGAAGAAGTGGAAGATGAGCAAACAGCAGTGGAAAACAATGGTATCCATTAAAACGGATAAATAAACGTTTGTCATGTCTTGCGGAGTTCAAATGTAGAAGCACACGGAACGAATCGAAAGAAGCGCACGTCGATGCGCGCAGAACGTAATTAGCAGTGCGCTGGAGACTTTCCTCTCAGCTGCAGCTGGGAACACCCACAATACGAATTGAAAACTAACGACAACGTTTCCACTAAAAAAAATCTGCACATAGATACAAGTCTTGTATATGTGCAAATAACATTTCTAACGGGGCGTCGCCCACCCGCGCATGATTCGAAAACATTTAATAACAACAACTCACATTAATATCGCAGAATCACAATAACGAATCTACGAATCACTTCAGGACATTTACGATCAGCCGGCGATTGTAACAAGGTTGTAGCGACGCGTTTCTAAAACGAATTCGTTTCGCGTACTTATGTGTGTTGAGACGCCCAGAGCGTCGAAATCGTCGTGGAGGACAGTTTCCTTAGTTGGTGCGCGAGTGTGTAAGCACCGTGAGCATCCGCCCACGCGATTAGCGTCGCAAGTCCATCGCTAATAACAGCCGGCGATGAAAAGATGTCAGCGATGTGAAAAATAACAAATGCCCGCAACGCGCGCGCATGACACCTCGAAACGCGTGAAGCGCGCAATAAAAATACAAGCAATTATACACCCACGCATTCGACTTACAAGACGCTACAATCAAATGTAATGTGTAGTTTATGTTCCAAAAATCAGGCACAAGGTGTTTTTGGTACTTTTACTTAGGATTTTCGATATAATTACAACGCCATCTATAAATAACTAGGTTTAATGGTATATTAGGTATCAAGTGCGCTAAACAGCATTTTAACAACGTTTAGCCACGTGATATTTACGTTATTTTTTAACTTTCTATTTTTCTCTGTTTTTCTTCTAAGCTCCACGTCGTGACTAAAGCTCGTGACTAAAGTATTTTTTTGGCCGTCCGTGCTGAAAATACCACTTTTTGTATCTAAAACTCGTGAAAAAATTGATGGAAATAGAAAAAATGTGTTTTCTTAAAAAAATGATTATATTTTTGGTGTAACCCATGAAATTTCACTAAAATACAAACAAAACTCTGCATATTTAATGTGCTAGAAAATTTAGATTAATAGCATCATTCACATTTAACTATTTATTACTTTAATCGTATTTTAATTCGTCACCTGAAGGCGAATTCGAAGAAGGCGAATCAAGTTCAACGACAAGTTGTCACGATTCCACGCAAAATGGATATTTGTATTTTCTATTCATGCATAACATAATATAAAGTCCCCTGAAGGCTCGAAACGCACAAGAAAATCCATTGTGTTTATTTTTCTCCATCCAGATGAAATAATCGATCGAATAAATCGATTTGCACAATTCGCAGATTAACATTAACATTTACTCGCTGTTTATTTGCGTATTTATGCTTAGATTTCGATATTAGTGGATTTTTACTTTTCTTTAAAAGCCAAGGTCTTGTTATTTTCTAACAGTGTCGATCATAATTGGGCTTGTCCCGAGTCTCATTATTCTCGCGTTGAATCCAGTGTTTGGCGATATAAATTCTAAAGAACAAACGATCTTATGTTATGCAACGATATTAATAATACACACCACCAACACCCAACGCCGAAGATAAGCCAAGTGTAAATCGATGAATGCTGAGATTTTTTCAACTTCTCATTTATCATATTCGTGAGTTTAACAACGCGCAGCGGTTGAATCTGTCACTGAGTAATAAAATAAAAATTAGCATACGTATTTGTTGCAGATTCTGCGCCACTGCGCGCGCATTTGAGCGAGACGATTACGTAAGACGTCTTTTGTTGGGTATATTGATGAAAAAATAAATAAAATAAAATTCATTTTTCGATTTTGCGCGCGAGGTGTGTACTAGTATGCGATACTCGTGCGGTTTATTACTATTACCGGCTTCGCCACCTACAACTTGTGTTATGTTGTTGTTGTTTTTTTCGTTGGTTTTGTTTGAAAATTCATTATTTAACTTTCCAACGCACGCGGATCCGCGTTCGCACTGAATATTAACGAAAGTGCGAAGCGTGACAAACGGCGAACACGCCTTAATTCTTCAACACACGATTCGCAATCAGTGAGGAACGCAGAAACAAGAAACGTAGAAATAAGGCACATCAGTTTTTGTTTTACGAACATGCAATGTGTTTATTTGTATGAAATAGACAAATTTTAATGGATTTGTATGTTTATTACCAAATAACTTTTGATAGAAACATTATAGAATAATGATTTAAAAACTAGTTTATTAAGAATTAAATTCTGTTTAATATGAAATAAAATATGATAAAATCCATAAAACGGTTAAAAAGTTATTGATAAAAAACTAAAAATATTTTTTTTAATTTTTGAGTAAATGCATTTCTCGGCAGGTGCTGACCTCTTTCTTGTTGCTTTTCACCATTTCCTGCTTGTAAATTCCACTGGAAATTGTTTGTTTGTATTCTGCATTGCATTTTGCATAACTTCGGAGAATTGTCGCCGCAGCACACTTTAATTAATCGCTTGCTTCTCCTGCGCTCCGCGCGATTCTTTGTCGGCGGCGAAGCGGGCGTAATTTGCCAAAGCGACGGCGGCAAATTAAACTATGCCACCAAAGTATGCAATATGCACAACCCGCTTCAGCCTGCAATCAGTTAGTGACATTTCTCTACACTCTACGTGCAACAAAACTGCAAAAACTAAAAAAAATATAAAAATTATCTTACGACATCCGCATTATTCTTTACGAAATAATATTATGACTGGTATGTTGCAAGTTTTCGTCATTTTTAGACATTTATGAGCTAATATTTCACATTAATTAATATTTTGTAAATCACAAAGCAGAACGACATTACATATATTTATTCTATTAGAGTGGCGTTCCGAGTGGGACCATTTTCGTGGCTGCCTTTCATTTGTTGCTTAATTAACAAATTTTAATTGTTTCCATTGTCTTTTGTTCTAGCAAAGTGCGTCGTCAAAGCGAAGGATTTATGACACATTTGAACCCGCAACAAACCAAAACCGAAAAAATGGTAAAAACCGAGCAGCGATATCAACAATTCACCATCTTAATGCAACCGGTGAGTGTTTGTACACTATACTTAACTAATGCTAATGTAATTAATTAAAATAATGCTTTTGCTTCCTTGCGCGTCGTCGTCATGCATCAAAGCGCTAAAAATTCTACGTCGCCGTGTTTGAAATTATGAATATTCTCGAGTTGACGAAACTTCATTTATTAATTCGTTATTAATTCGGGAAGTTGCGCATAAAGCTTCGGTTGTCTCCTTCATTTTTCAGAAAATTATATAGAGGAACACTTTGATCTGCGGACACGCAGCGTATACACGGCGCGCTTCTCTCGGCGGCGCCCGTCGCTCGTTGCGAGTTTGTTTTAATTAAAAGTTGGTGCATTACGTCGTTGACTTTGTGTGTGCGCGCGCCCGATAGCGCCAGCGGGTCTCCGCGGGCTCAAGCATTTATAATTGTTTTCGTCTTTTGAACTCCTCGAGTGCCTCCTGCTGTGTATCGAGATCTTGTCTTCCAAGTCGCAGCACTCAAACAGGAAGCTAGAACAAAAAAATCAAAAATTTCAAAAAGGTTATTGCAAAATATACGAGTTTTAATGATAATTTCTTAAACTGTTTGTAGTTGCGTACGCGCGGAGCACATTAATTTTTATTGCACGCCTCATCAGAGTCGTAAAAGTATTGCGGTACTAAAAATTAATAGCCAATCATTGTGCCAGTGTCCAAAATATAATTACGCGCAGTCGTTTACGGTGTGCATGTTCTACACACAACCGGCGACAGTAGTATCCCACAACTTTTAATTTTCACACGTATTCTTTCGTTTTTCGTTTTGCGTAATGTTTAAAACTTAATTAAAGTTGTTTGCTTATTTGGTATTGACAAAGCGTGTCTAATTGCAGTCACGCTTGTGGTTATGTCTAACTATGCAAACGCGCCATCTATCGGCTAATCGTAAAATGAAATAAAATAACATTTTGAGGTTATAATTTGTGTGGTGCTTCTGCATAAGTTGCCTTTGTCTGTAAAACGATAAAATTAGTTTTATTGCGGCGGCCATTAGCGATTAGCAAAACCCGCGATATCAATAATCTCTCTCTGGCTGGCGAGTTTATACTCCTATTTATTATAATAAAAGTCATCCTAATAGACTGCGCATAACTACCGCTAATTTAATTCACCTGAGTCCATAAAACCGAACTGTCGCTCGGTCGTCAAATGTGCCATCGGGACTCTTGCGCGCTTGTTGAGCTTCTCGCGTCTTCTGCGCCTCTAATGGCACCGACGCTGGCGAGCCTGCAATCTGCCGCATCAAACGGTTCGAGACGTTAAAAACCGTATGCATGCGGTCCATCCGCTTATTACTTCTCAAACTTGGTAATCAGCACAATGTACAATTTCAGCCTGTACACAACTTGCCTGCAATGAATCTAAAAATATCTAGTGATGCATATTTGCGGTGATAGTTTTGCGTGGTTGTGTATGTTGAATAATTCCTGCTGGCGAAGAAGCGCAAGATCTGTTAGCCACGAATTCCAAACTATCGCTTTGTGGCGTGCGCTATTCCGACGCGGAGACCTTAAGAAGCTGGGTTGGGAAGCTGCCGGTCCTGCTGACTCGCTGCGAAGTCGTTTCGCGGTTACGGGTTACGGATTACGTGGCGTATTATTAAACGTGGAATTATTGATGTGCTATCTGAGAAATTGGCGGATGGCCGCAAACGACAAATATAAAATTTTCCCAACCGCCATGTGCAATATTAGCCTAGTAATTAAAAATCGTCGAGCTAATCTCCAGCGCGCGGACCTCCAGCGAATAAAGTATCAAGATTCCGCGTCATCGCGTAATTGAACGATGCGCAAATTAACATTTTCCAGATTGCACATGCACACTGCTATAACTAACTAATTGCAAATGCATGTCAATAAATTAAAAAAGAAAAAAATTTTTTTTGAAAAATTTACTACTACTAAATTTACACAGGAGAAAGTTAATTAATAACGTGCTCCATTAGTGTCTATTGATAAATTGTTGATATTGATGTTTCGTGTACAGCGGTAGAGATCAAAGCAATTAATCAGGTGATATATGGCAATTGTTACACACAGGGTGTGTAATAAAACTAGTTACGACTTGAGGCTAACGATCGCGGGGATTTGATGACATTCGCACGCACAGCAGTCGGTCGAATATAACAACAACCATCGTCTAATGATTACGCGATTCGCATCCTCGCGTGAAAGTCGCCGCGGTCGACAAGCACCAGATGAGTGTCGGACGAGTGCCCGGGCCCAACCTAGGTTCTGGGTTCACTAGAGTTACACAATGACCGCGAGCAATTTTATCTCGCAGTGAAATGCGCAGGTTTGCGATTCTCGGCTCGTACGACTCGCGCGTAGTACACATTACAGTTACAAGCTAAAGGTGACTGGTGCTGAATGTCGAGCGTCCATGTCCATTTGTCAGCCCTAGGGCTGTTTCGTTGTGTGCTGTGTGTGTGTTTGTGGAAGGCGACGTGCCCGAGTTGCGCGCACGCTAATGTATTTCCTGCGAGGACTTGGTGCTGTGTCAGCGCTGGACCATCTATTTACTGCCCGTGACAGAATAATCTCTGGCGAGTGCGTTCGAATGACAAAACCGATGTCGGCACGCTTGCAATGATCACGCTCCAGTGCACAACAAAATCACAGTCAATTCACACTTAAATCCTTTGAAAAAAGCGGTTAACCGGTGTTTTTTTTAATTTTTAGAAATAGAAATGAAAAAAATTGAATTTTTAACTATTTTACATCAAAATTACAGTTATATTTTTTGTAAAAACCGGTTAACCGGTAGTTTTATTTGCTTCAGTTTAAAAAAAACAGGTTAACCGGTATTTTTTTTTTAATTTCAAAAAATAAAAAACAGATTTTTAACTTATTTTAATCAAATTTACAGATATTTTTTTGTGAAAACTGGTTAACCGGTATTTTTTTATTTAAAAAAATAGAAAAAGGAAAAACAGATTTTTAACTAATTTTCATCAAAATTTTAGATATATTTTTGTTAAAAACAGGTTAACCGGTATTTTTTTATGTTTAAAAATTGTGAAAATTAGAAAAACAACACTTAATATATCAAAATCACAATTAATTTTACTTATATAATTTTCCAAATACCGGTTAACCGGTATTTTTTATTTTTATGAATTCTGAAGCTTTAAAAGATAACACTTTGTATATTTTAATATTATTAGATTGTTTGAGTGGTGCGGAAGTTGTTGAGAGACAGTCTGGACAGTCATCCAAACCCACACTCGACCATCAAATGCTCTCTCGAGCAATTTGAGCAATCACGATCGTTAGATAGTCATATGAAACGTGTGCCTGCACTCAGGACACTTTGCCCATTCCACCTCCTTGTACTTGTTCTTGTGTGTGGCGTTTCTAGCCCATCTTCCGTTATATGTTATATCCTCCTGCTTCTACCCTGCGGCCCCGCGCGCGCCCATAAATAACCAAAGCTGTTAAAACCTCCGGACAACACTCGCCGATTGCAGCGCCCGGCCACACACACTAGTAGCTTAGGCAGCCGGTGATGAATGTGGCAGATTTTCGGAAGGATGTGAGAGGATGTCACAGGTCATATAATAGGCCCAGGCACAAAGGAAGTTGGGAAGCTGATCGGCGCACGCAGATAGTCGTGTTTCTTTGCCTTCGAAGCGTGAAGTTGTGGAGGACTCAAAAGTAGGCAAATCGCCATTGTAGAAGTTTTGAAGAGTTTTATCAGCGTGCATCTGACGGCATTACACATGCATGTAACCCGGGGTTTTTCGTGCGGTTCGTGCTTTTTATTTAATCTAATTAAGTCGTTCTCTCAGCTGCGGCAATTGATACTGTTTGACTAGTCGAATGCGCAGATAGGCATCGCTTAAATTTCGTGTACACACATTTATTTCGAACAAAGTAGCAATTACGAATGGTAGGGAAGAGACAATACAATAGGTGAATAGCTTACAAGTGACTTCGTGCGCCATAAAACAACCGGGACTACCAGATACGATAACTGTAAACATATAGAGTCAATAAAGGCAATGATAAAGTCAAAAATTTCAACCAAATTCAAAAAAGTAAAAATACCAGTTTTTTTTAAACTGTTACAAATAAAAATTACCGGTTAACCGGTTTTTATAAGGATATGTCTGTAATTTTGATGTAAAATAGTAAAAATCCAATTTTTAATTTCTATTTTAAACATGTAGACTCAAAATTTCAACAAAATTATACCAAAAATTTTTTAAGGAATGTATATAACCGTCATATATTATCCACACTCGGATAAACATACATTTATAAAACAATTATGCCATTTCGTCATGGGGCAATCGCGCAATGAATAATTTTGTCGTCGTAAATAGTGTTTTTCTTCCGTTGCACAAACACAGCTTATCATGCGTGGCCGTAAATCAAGTCGTAAAATTAAGCAAAAATTAAATAATTATTTTTATTAACCTGTAACGCTTTCCACGCGACTCTCACAGTTTGACATTGTAATGAGCGCGCTGCGCACACTTCGGGCACCGTAGGAAAAAAACATAGACTTACTTGATGGACGTAATTATATTACACACAGGGACATTTCTTGGTGAACGTTAAAATCCGTTTTTAATGCGGTATTTAACGTGACGCACTTCTAACGTCTAACGTTTAATTTAATATCTTCGTATGACGATTCTCACGATTCGAATCGTGATCACGGGGACAGGCTAATAAAACTAGTACTGGAATTGATGTGATCGTTAGTACATAAAAACGGTCATTTTTTCCAAATGAAATTAATGTCTAATGACAGGTGTATAAAGTTATAGACCATTTATCAGTGCTTGATTACATTCAAAATATATTCCGGTAGCTGTGGTTACATTTTACATTTTAAATAAAACCATAACTGCCTGGAATGCAAGTTAATATTTAAAGTTCATCCCAGTTACATGCAACCAAATATACATTAAACGTTTAGGTTATATTTGTTGTGTAGGCAACTCAAGTTGCTTGGTATGCCGAGACTTTATG